TATAACAAACAAACTGACGGACAGGTGCACTATATAGACATGACTGACAGACAAACATGTAGACAGGCCGACGGACAGACAAACAGGCAGGCAGGCAAACAGATAAACAGACAAGCAAAAGACTTCTGTCAAACTATCATTTACTCACCATTTTCCAGATGGGAGAGCCCACCCTCCACAGTCAATGCCTTCTATAGCTCTATCAGGAATCAGATCAGTAAGTATAATTTTTAATAATTTTTTAATGTCATTGTGGTATCCTTATTTAGCACCGGCTGGCTCTGGTAGAAGAGTAAAAGCGGTCACATCCAAAATGATCTTTAAAAAAAAGGATAATGAGGACGTGAAAAAAATTACAATCAATCAATCTGAACGATTATGATGTTGATGTGTACAAAATTTAATACACACTTCCGCCAGTCTGTACAAAACAATTTCTCCGAAATCTCGACCAATCCTGCACCCACCCCCCCCTCACACACACACCACAACCATCCCTGGTCCCGAGACACTGGGGTAAAATATGGGCTGTGAATTTGAGAAAAATCCATATATGGCATAATATATTTAACGCCCTTTCAACACTGTCCGGTTATTCAAGAGGCCGTACCTCCAAATGTTAACTTTCGTCTCCTGTTGGACCAAGCCATATGGGCGGATAGCCTTAAAAACAAAACAAAACAACCCACGTTCAAGAATGCACTGCTTCAGGATTGGATCCAGGGTCATTCGTACCCCAACGTGATACCAACGGAGCGCCAAAATAAACTCATGCCAGACAAGCAGGTGCTGGAACTTTTGTTTTGGTGAGGTAAAACTGGTCATCGATAAAATATGCTCTGTGTACATGGAGGACGTTGACTTTCGTATGTCGTGACCCGACAATGTATATCGAAATAAACTCTTTCTTTTTATTGCATGAACATCTGGTCTAGGCCGAACGCTTTGCATCTGCGTCTGTAGCTTAATATACCTAAAATAATTGCCTTTTTGACCTGTTTGGCGTTTTTTGGTCCTCAAATGAAGAGCAGAGCCAACTTAGTAATAATACAGTTCATTTGACAAAAGAAATATCCAAATATAAAATCAACAGAGTCTACCAAAATCCAAGTGTTTTACAACGTCAATTGTTCGAAAGAAACACATTTTTCTTATCTTCTCAAAATAGCAAAAGATGACTAAAGCATTTATGTTATGAGAGTGACGATATATTGTTTTTGCCATATAAAAGCAAATGATGTGCGTTCGATTTTCACTGTGGGGAAGTCAGTATTGTTAACTCCATCACTTTAATTGTCTAATCGTGTTGCAAGTGCAGCAAAACTCTTACTTAAACAAATACAATATTAAGTCCTGCATACGTGCATTGTTGCACTCGGCTACGGTTAGCCCTGACCGGCAGGCTCGAAACAGCTTGTCCAGTAAATTTTCTAAATTATGTACTTAAAGGATCAAAGAGTATCCAGTCTTTGTGTAATGATTTTACAGTGATGTATTTGTCCCCCCAAAAATGCCCAAAGTTCAACTAGCAATGGCGAAATTGGTAAACACGCATACCCCCAATCAGCGGATAGCTATTAGCACCTCGATAGTTCACGAACTATTCCCACCTGCTTTCACTTATTTGACACCTCCCGCTGCTCCCAGCTCTAAGTTGTTCAAATAATGACCTCAACGTCCATCTATTTTCAGTGTTTCCAGCCGGTATATTGCAGCCTCCATTCTTTAGCCAAACGTACCCAAAGTGAGTATTTCTCTACCACGTAAGCAAAAGACTCCTGTAAAACCCTGTCAAATTAATTTCTTTTAGTGTTAATGTTAGCAACTTGACAGCAGTTGAATTAATACAATGTGAAAACATCGTTTTGGTGATGAATGGAGAACGAGAGCGAGAGAGAGAGAGAGAGAGAGAGAGAGAGAGAGAGAGAGAGAGAGAGAGAGAGAGAGAGATGCTTGCAGACCTTAACGGTATTGCTACTACTAGTTGGCGATTTGGTTATTCTGATGGGTGGTGTTGATAACCCGAGTTGTGACAGGTGTTACACGACATGTAGTTATTGCCCCGCCACGAAATACGAGGTACGTGTAGTTGGTGGGCAGAACGAAAATGTCAGCCTCTTTTAAAGGTGGCAAAAGTGATTTCTATTATATCAACAAGCACTGAAAATACGCGGAGTCTATTGTATATGAAAATCCAACCGCTGTTGCAATGAAGTGAGGGAAAAAAAAGATTTTAAAAGCAAACGTTCCTTCTGAGTTGAAGACTTGACGCGTTTTGATCGCGTTAACTGGTTAAAATAACGGGGAGAATGGGGGGGGGGGGTAACCGAACCACAAGATATAAAGTAACATATACCTGTATAGCAAAATTTTAATGTAATGTTATGCCCTATACTGCCGTACACTGACAAAACAACATTTTAAAGATCACGTCAGTTCGGAGAAATCAACAGTTTTCGGTTTTATTATAATATCTAAAAACGGTGCACAGTACACCAACGACAGATCTTGCACCCTGGAGAGAATGTTATTCTCTATGGTTAACAGATACTATAAGAAAAACGAAAATCGTTGATTTCTCGAAACTGCTGTGAACTGAGAAAATGCCTTTTGTCAGCTTACGGCTGTATACTGAAATGAGATTTACATCACGTCGTAGTCCGACGCAAACCGTGTTTCCGCTAAATTTGGTAAAACACTTCTTCTTTTCTGAAAGCAAGTTATTCACAATTGCAATGACAATTTGGGTGACCCTATTTCAAGCATAAAGAACTGCACAAAATGTTGAGTATATCGGAATGATGTTAGGACGGAAACTGCATTCACCCTTCCCCCCCCCTCCCCTCCCCACGGATACCACGGTTGGGGTCGGCGACCAGCGATGGGCATTAAATTGTACCGAAAACGTCAGGCATATTCATTACAGGGAAGTTTTGAAAAGTTATCACATAGAATCTAGCTTCATGTAAAAGGTAGCGTTGTTTTCGGATCTCTTTCCAATAACACTGTCCATGTCTTTATTATTATTATTATTTTTTCAGATTCATAACGCAATGTGATAACCATGTTTTTCTTTGAAGATTCGTTAAGGTATTCAAATAAAAAGAAATAACCAAAAAAAAAAAAAACAAAGCAAAAAAAGAAATACTTCAGAATGTTCTTCCCTCGCATACAAATCATGCAGGTGAATTTTCTCCAAAATGCAACAGTTAGTTTTTCACGGCTATGCCCTCTGTCTTCAGCGTTTAGACCGTTGGTTCAAGTCCCAATAATAGGAACTGATATTTTATTAGTGTCTCAGTGTTTGTGCCAGAATACACTGCACAATTTGGACGTGACTGCTTATCAATATGGAAGAAGCCACCCCCCCCCCCCTCCTGTACGCCACGAATAACTGATACTACATTCTGGAAATACCAGTTTGTCTTCTTCACTCTCATATAAAATAACCTAAGACAGCCGGCATAATAATATTTACGATCGGAGGGGGAGGGTAGTGCTAATGCCATCAATATATATTATTTATTTAAAGACTGAATATATGTTACTGTAAGCTATGCGATTTATGTGGCTATGGCAGTCTTTGTCAATTTGACCACGGACAAGAATGTGCATCTATAGGGTCCAAAGCTATTTACACATTGTGGTAATCCTTAAGCCAGGCTCGAGTCAGTCTCGGAGGAAAAAGTGAGGATTTTAAAAGTGTTGATTGCACTGCCCTTGTGCAGAAGTCACTTGAAAAATCCCTCACATCTGCAGCTACTGTCACAGGAGGTTTCCTGTCACTTGTGAAAAGTTTTCTGTCCATGTTTTCAGGTCTTTAAATTATGGCGGTATCGGCGTGGTCATTGGCCACGAAATCACTCATGGATTTGATGACCGGGGTAAGGAAACGCCCACCAAAAGGAATTTAACTCATAATACCATACTTTCACAACATTATTCTGCTGAGGGAAAGGGACGCTACTGAAATATTATCATTATTATTATTATTATTATTATTATTATTATTATTATTATTATTATTATTATTATTATTATTATTATGTAAAACGACTAACACTTTCTGCAACATTTAGGCAAGACAGCCCACCCATCCAATAGTGCTAGCAGTGTATACTTTTTTCTTGCAATATTATTATCTTGATCTCTTATCATTATCCTATCTTATTATTACAACATAGAGCATGCTATACACACCGGATATATCTGAGTTACCTGTCTTCTAAACGATAGTTCCCTGTATGTACAAGAGATATCGCTTTTCTTTTCCGGACTTACTCGTAGCTGACAAAGGAATTGCTATGTGTGATGAAAAGATCACCCAACTACAGATTCGTTCAGAGGTTACTCTTAGGCAACCGGAATATGATAAATTGCATACATCTGGAGATACATAGATAGACAAATAGATAGATAGATAGATAGATAGATAGGTAGATAGATAGATAGACAGATAGATAGATAGATAGATAGATAGATAGATAGATAGATAGACAAATAGATAGATAGATAGATAGATAGATAGATAGGTAGATAGATAGATAGATAGATAGATAGATAGATAGATATAGAGAGAGAGAAAGAGAGAGAGAGAGAGAGAGAGAGAGAGAGAGAGGGAGAGAGAGAGAGAAGGAGAGAAAAAGAGAGATACAAAAGTAAGCAAATATTCATTGGTCCACAAAGAACATAATTTGTCTTTTTTTTAAACCTAAGATGAAAATAGACACTACCCCTTCTGTATAACCGACCAGCATGCTTTCTTCTCCTGTTGAACATATTATTTTATTTTCTTGCGGGAAAACGCATGTGGTTTTTTTTTTTTTACCGTATTACTATTATCAACTTCAGGTCTTTAAACTATGGAGGAATTGGCTTCTTCATTAGTCACGAAATCATTCATGGATTCGATGACAAGGGTAAAAAATGTTAAATGTTACATGTTTTGAGTGCATTTTCAGTAGGTTGTAACACCCCCCCCCCCCCTCCACCCTGTCACCACCCCACTCCACTACCCAACACCCTCAAACGTGGGCATTGCTTTCAGCTTGTTTTCTTCCACATTTCAGTAAATCAGTTTGACCTTATATTTGCGTAACTATTACAGCTTGTGAATTCTGTATTGCTGATGTGTATATATCCAAGTTTCCAAGCTTAACCTTTGACCCCCCCCCCCCCCCGCTAATATCATATTGATTATCCCAATCTAATTCTAACTCTTTGTGTGTATGAACGTTTAAATTATGTATTGGTGTGTGGCTTTTCTCTTTTCTGCCTTATCGTTTAGAATAACCCATACTCTTCATAAGCTGAGTTGAGATAAGATGAGTTGATGAAGTATAATTTACGGGAAGTCAGTACGTTAATTTCCTTTTTTTTATGGGGGGAGACTTTTTATCCTAATAGCAACGCTGCATAGAACTAGGGAGAGATAGATAAAAGAGAAGAGAGTTCTGAACTGAACTGAAAAGTCTAAATGAATAGTGACGTGCTGCCGCTTTTTTTTAATGACGTACCCCTAAACAGCTAGTCCTTTAATAGTCAAACATTAGAGGCTATTCTAACTAAAAGTTTGATTACAGCAATAGGACACCTTATCATTTTTATCGACACTGTTGGCTAAAATGTATCCTGGCTTCTCTTGCGTTGCATGTGTGGATTTGGATATTATACGCTTTGTAACCAGAGATTTGTTGTGACTGTTTTGCTTACTAATGAAAGCATCGTCATCATCATCATCATCATCATCATCATCATCACCAATATTATCATGATTGTGATTATTGTTATTATTATAATTATTATTACTATTATTATTGTTATTAATTCGTGTTAGTATTAGCATTATTATTAATATTTTGTTGTTGTTGTATCATTATTGCTACTTCAAATTGGTTATCGTAATCACTATATTATATAAGTAGTAGCATAATAAGTATCATTTGTTATGCCTATTAGAGAAACGATGAAAATCAAGATCTACTCCCTAGAAGAGCAACAAAATTCATAAAAACAACGTCTTGAATTGTCAGTTGGCCACTTCTGGGTTTTTTTCAACAAAAACTAGAACAAAAATATTATATGTATCTATTTTACTTTTTTACTGCTTGCATAATTTCGTCTTTAAGTCATATAGAGCTGATTGATGCATAAGCTACGAATTACTCTTTACTTATTTTGACCTGTATACGCCTTTCAATGCTTTGCTATATATGTCAGTCAAAGTTATAGCAGAGAACTTAACTTTGTGACTCACTGAATTTTACATCTAATATCATTCTTGGGCAACATCTTGTTCTTGAAAAGATCTAGTATTTTCTTTTCAAGAAATCTTAGCATGTAGCGTTCCGAGATAATAACGATTTCACTGATTGATCAATATATTTGCGCTGTATTTGTTTGTGACAAGGACATAGATGTCTCTGGACTTCATAATATTGTCGGAAAAGAGTTCTCAAAGTGAAGATGATTATCATTGTTAAAGTTTGCCAATACTGAAAGAGAATGATAACTTTAGGAGTTTAAGGATAATCCTCCAATCACCCTGTAGAACCTCCTAAAAGTAAAAATAAATATTGAAAAATACTGACTTGTCATTCAACTTTACGTCAGGAGACAGAACTAGTAATATATTAAAATGCACCTCATAATTTTCTACAGTTATTGCCCTGTAAATAAAGGGCCTTGTTTTGAATCCAATTACACATAGAACATTATACATTTGTTCCTCTATTTAGCTGAAACACTTTCTATGGTGTGAGTAATCAACATGGTTACATATGGTATTAGGTTTTTCATTAATTTGAACTTTTCATCTTGACCTTGACCTCTCCCTGAAGGTCGCCAGTATGACAGTGACGGTAACCTGGTACAGTGGTGGAGCGAGTCGGCCATTGAAAAATTTAAGGGCAAGGCTCAATGCATCGTCGACCAGTACGGAAATTTTACCGTCCCAGAAGTGGATCAGAACGTAAGTCCCCCCCCCCCCCCCCCGGCCCTTACAACTCACTCCCGTCCCTCACCCCAGCTCCTGCCCGGCGAATAAAGCTTGTTTCGTTGCTCTACTTAAAAGGCTTGTAAGGATTTTACCGATCCGGATGTTAGAGACAGCGAATAAAGAGAACACATTTAATGATATCACTGGGAGACACATGCACACACAAACACACACACACACACACACACACACACACACACACACACACACACACACACACACACACACAGAGAGAGAGAGGGAGAAAGAGAGAGAGGGAGAAAGAGAGAGAGAAACAAAAGACAGTACAAGAGACAGACAGACGGACAGACTGACAGATTAACAGACAGACTGACACACAGAGAGAGAAAAATACAATGTAGGTACTCTGTTTTCCCCCAAAATGTTTTCGTATACTTCACACAATTAGACTTAAACACTAATCTCCACAACTCGTTCTCTCATCACTTTCTTCCTTCCTTCATCGCCATCCTTATCCCCACAGCTCAACGGTGTAAACACCCAAGGAGAAAACATCGCTGATAATGGAGGCCTGAAGCAAGCTTACAGGGTGAGTCCTCAGTAACATGTTGCAAACCGTCTTTTGGATATACAATAGAACCTGCTTTAACGACTACCTATCCAAGACAACCACTTGAACAAACGCCCAGTTTCAACCTCCCCACTCCCTTTATGTCTCTGATTTATAATTTTTTAAAAATAATTAACATTGCACTGCCAAAGAGTATCCGTTCACTCGGTTGGAGATATGATAATAACATTATGTGTGAGTTATCACTTAAACTATTCTCTCTATTCAGTTAGTAGACGAGTAACAGTTTTCAGAATATTTACAAACCAGCCTAATACATTTATGACATAAGGGAGATAACTGTGCCCTTTGTGTTGCTCTTAGAGTTTGTGTCCCCTTCAAAAACAATTCAGAACTGAAAGTTGTTGCAGATTAATATTGTTGTTGCTGTACCTGTGGTTATGCTCAGATGTGTGAGTGTGTGTGTGTGTGTGTGTGTGTGTGTGTGTGTGTGTGTGTGTGTGTGTGTATTAGCAAAATGTAAGAAGGAACGAGAGAGATACAATATCTCAAGTGCTATAAACAAGCTCTAAGACGATAACAATAACTATATTATGCTAAAATATTGACGAGCACCAGATTCCGCCGCGTCGTGACATAAATAAATAATTATATTCTGCTGCACTCCCACAGGCATATCGGAACTGGGTCACTGAACAAGGCAAAGAAGAACTGCCTCTCCCTGGCCTCAAGTTCTCACACAACCAGCTGTTTTTCATCAACTTTGCTCAGGTACATTCATGAACAAAACTTATGGCTGTTCTGGATATACAGAATGAAGTGAATACGTTCTGCTCAAAAGAGAAGAAAGTTTAAAAAAACCCACAACAGCTTGGAATAAAGATATCATGGACTTAACCTTTATTTAAATTTACTTTAGATTCTATACTTGAAAGACGCTATTACAAAATGCACCGGGTTGTTTTTTTCACCCGTTTGGTTATGCTATTAAAGTGAGAGACAAAGGCTTTCCTCATAAATGTTCTCTTTCAACTGTAATACTGTGACCATAATGAGTAAAACGGTTCTTTTTGTATTTTCATGTTTTTAATGATAATTCATTTCTCCCTTTCACAAAGGGGTTCTAGTATGAAATAGTTAGCCTTTATGCCTTGCTGCACACCAAAGCACGTTGGGACGGTATTTCATACTGTTTTTCAATATTTACTTTAAAAATGTATTCGACTAACTCTTTTTGCTTTATGCACGAAGGGCAGTGATGAGGCAGTCAAGCCTCTCAAATTACCTAAATTGTCTCGCTGGAAGTTAAAACAAATATGAACCTCCCTGTCTTTCGGCAGCTGTGGTGTAATTTACTCCGGGAGGAGAACGCTTTGAACAGAATACGCACTGGGGTCCACAGTCCAGGCAGATTCAGGTGAGATTTATGACAACTACTTTATGCAGTGGAAAGGCACCTCTAAACGAATATACTAAGTACATTGTTGGCTGAACTAATTGTAGTCAGTAGGGGGAGGGGGGTATTGAAACTACTTTCTTTTCCTTTACACACACACACACACCATAGCACACACACACACACACACACACACACACACACACAGACACACACAAACACACAAACACACACACACACATGCGCCTACATACACACACACACACACACACACAAACACACAGGAAGGCGCATGCAT